CAACAATGAATGAATGGAAACCCAAAATCTCTGTAAATGTTCATTAAAATTAATAAAATTTAATAAAATAAATAAGAAAAAAAATCTCTTCAAGATTCCATAAGAAAGGCTCTGTCTTCACAGCACTGATGTTTTTAGGTGCCATCAGCTCGACTCTAACTCCTTAAAACAGTCTAACCTTTGCCCAACTCTGAAGCTTTCTCACAATCGCTGCTGTGCTCAAGCCTACTGTAGCAAGTGACTTGGACAATTCATCTCTTTCAGGGTCTTCTTCTTGTCTGACCCTCTCAGCATGATGTCCCTCTCCAGAGACTGGCCCCTCCTGCCAACCATGCCCAAAGAATGTGAGAAGTCTCATCATCTATGCTGCTCAGGAGCACTCTGGCGGGCTTTTTGCCAACAAAGAGCTGCTTGCTCTTTAGGTAGTCCATGTGAGAGTCAGTACTCTGCCAGAACCACAACTCAAAGGCATCAGTTCTTCTTTGGTCCTCCTTATTCACTGCCCAACTTTCCCATCCACATGAAGCAACTGAAAATACCATGGCGTGGGCCAGGCACATGAAATGGTAAATAAAGCAGTATTATATGGAAGACTGGTAGAATCAGTACTTGCAAAAGGGGTTCTGACAAGCTCTTAGCACCAATAATATGAGAACAGAAAAATCATTAGTCACACTAATGTCAGAATTAGTCAAATACTCACCAAAGATAAAGTGCAACCTGTGGTTGGTCCTCTGGGCACTTAAAGTGGGCAGATAACTATTTTTCCTTTATTAAAAGTACTTTTTGTTGTTGTGTACCATTGAATTGGATCCGACTGGCACAGGAGAGGATTGCCCCTCCTTCTCCAGCAGAGCAACTGGTGGATTTGAACCAAAAGTACATTTTCAATCAGTGTCACTTAATCGTATATGGAAAAGTCATTTATATGGTATGTTTTGTTATATATATTTTTACCATGATAAATGTTTTAGAAAGTTCATTTTAAATCAATGTTGATAAGTTCCCCAAAAATAGAAAATGAGGAAAATGAGGGAATGCCTCCTAATTCCTTCATGAGATCAATATTACTGTTGTCCAAACCAGACAAATACCACAAGAACTACAAAACAATCTCTTTCATAAACATAGATACAAAAATTCTCAAAAAAACACTAGTAAATAAAATTCAACAGCATATAGAAAGGACAGCATACATCATGGACAAGTTGGATTTATCTCAAGAATACAAATTTGATTCAATATATAAAAACCAATCAATGTAATAAACCATATTAATAAAGAAAAAAAACATATTATTGTCTTAACTGACAGAGAAAGAGTATTTGACAAAATCCATTACTCCTTTCATGATAAAAAAAACCAAACACACTTAATAAACTAGGGGCAGAAGGATACTTCCTCAACAGGATGTCTATAAAACACAGAGATAACAATCCAGTTCACATCGATAGTTCACTTTCTCCATAAAAACTGGAATAAGACAAAGATTGGTTCCATACTCTTCTTTTCAACATCGGTATGAGCCAGGCAAACAACAGAAATAGTCATTCAGATGGTAATAGTCATTCAGATTCCATTTTCAGTTGACATGACCTTCTATGTATAAAATTCCAAGGTATCCACCCAACAAAAGAAATTATTAGAGGTAATAATTCAGTAAGGTTGTAGGATACAAATAAACAATTACTTCTTGCACACATCAGCAATGAACAACATAAAAATATTCTTTTAAAATTTTATTTCATTTTAATTATGTGTGTTTGTGTGTGTGTGTGTACCATCAAATCAGATTTGACTGGTACAGGAGGAGATTGTTCCTCCTTCTCCAGCAAAGCATCTGGTGGATTTGAACTGCACAGCTCTGGGATTGCAGTGTAGCAGAGCTTGCCTATAAAAATATTTTTTTTATTATTAAATTTTATTAGTTTTAATGAACATTTACAGAGATTTTGGGTTTTCATTCATTCACTGTTGCACTGTTTTCTCCACCCTCCTCCCCAGTTCGTTTTTTTCCCCCCGCCCCCCAATGTCTGTTTTAATTGTCCAATTGCCACAGTGCTTGTCAAAGCCAGTTCTGATTAA